CAAAAAGCAAGTCAAACTGTTCCAAAACCACCCAAAAGTTTAGCATTAAAAAGTCAATTGAAAAACATAAAATAGACATTTTTTCTATGACAGTAAAAATCTTGCCACAGTAAATAGTAATAAGCACACGAGATCACAAATGCTAAGTATTCCCTTAGTTATTTTATGAAAGAAGTTAATGTTTATTATAACAGAAGTCATTTTACCTGATGTTACATAATCTTACTTTAAAAGAAAATGGCCTTTTGATACTAAACACATTAGAAGTAAATAGCATCTTCTGTTTCTTGTCACTTTAGTTCTATAAGTGACATTATTTTTTTCAAGATTACACATAATTCTTTGGCATTATTAACTAGCAATACCTTAGATTTATTTACTTAGGTAAACAATAATTAATGACGTGTTCACCTACCAATCATAAAACCAGAAACACTAGGAAAAAATATGACCTTCTATATATTATACATACCCTTAACTTGTTTTAATCTGGAGGTCAGTGTTCCTATGCACTAGCATACTACGTATTCCTGTTGTATTAGTATGCTGGTGTTCTAGAATGTCCTTTCTTCTGCTTACCCTTCTACATCTTCCTCTGCCTCCTTCCATCTCAGAAAATCCAAGATAAAAATGTGGTTAAGACTTGGTCAAGGGAAATTTTCCTCTCCACCCTCATGAAAGATGCAGCCAGTCATGTCTTAATTCCAACGCTCATTTCTGGACAGTTGCCATTTTTGTGAGAATTCAGCTCTTCTTTTGGAATTTGCTTCATTTCTAGGTATACAGGACACAGTTCAATCTTTATTCAGTCAGTCATTTACTTCATGACCCTGAAGAAATGATTAGTGAAGCACTGGTTAATATATGACATATTTTTAAGGACTTACAGACTCATGTCTGAATCTACAGTGTTAGGGCACATTTCATATCCTAAATAATTATTTTATCCTGTATTTTAGGACATGAAAATAAAACTGATATAGTTAAGTGATTTGGGCTTGGAAATTTCATAATATACATTACCGATACATTTTGGTTTCATCATGAAGTTTCATCATCTTAAAGAGTAGGTGAGTATGAATAAATTTAAGACATTAAAAAGTGCCACTTAGTGCTAGTCAGAAGAAAATAAATATTCCTAGTTTCAATGGAATCTGAAAACATTTTGAAACTCAGTTCACATACGGCACTCCTTTCCATCATGCAGTGCCTGGAAATATGGGGATTTATGAAAGTATTTAGAATATAGACATAGGATTTAACCATCAGTTAAACTGAAGGATTAGGGGACAATAAAGGCTTGAGAACAAGTGAATATCAGGAGAAACCATGATTTATATTTCTTTTTCTTTCTTTTTTTGGTACCAGGGATCAAACTCCCGACCTGGCGCTTGTGAGGCAGGTGGTGGAATCACTGAGCTAAGTCCCCAGCCCTTGATTTATATTTCTTGATCTATAGTCTCAACAAAAGCAGTTCACTAAGCCCAGACATGCACTCTGAGCTCTATGCACTCTAAGAAGGGAAATAGAAATACAGAGTTGAAGCAAATGGATTGTCTTTTCATGTACAAATGCACCTGGGTGTTTTATCAACAAGATAAGTGTTTTGCCTTTTGTTGATTTTTCGCTAGTAAAAATAGGTACTAAGTATACACAATTTTTATGTAAGTATGGATGCAGGATATTTGAGATGGAGCCAATATTCCCCATTGAAAAGTCACATCTCTGTACAAATCTAAACAACACTGGATGAACTCCTCATGTAAATCGTGCTGCATAAACAATGAGACTAATTGGTTTGCTTTTATTTATAGTCATATGTAAGTTTAGAGAAACTATCCATTAAGCATTCACTTGTACCCACACTTTGCCACAGACACGGAGGTACAAAGGAAGTAAATGAATTGTCCTGTAGTCAAAACTCAATAATTTCATTGAAGATTTAACATTTACATGCGTTATTTTAAAATTTTTAAATGTGATTCTATTTTCAGGCAAAAGTAGATCTTATGATATTAAGTCAGTGATTATCAAATTTCAGTGTACATAAAATTTATGTATGTGTCTAACTAAACAGGAAAGTTCTCCAAACTAATTTTGATTCACTATGACAGGGTGCCTACATTGTTGTGAACACCCTGTTATTCAGATGCTGCTGGCCCAAGGGACACCCTGGCTGAATACATGGCAAGTCAGGGACCGGGGACTCTGCCAAAGGAACGAATTGCCAGGATCAATGTAGACAAGGGAGTAGATTTGAGATGAGTCTGCAAGAGCACTTCAAGGATAGGTGGGATTTAAAGAGAGAGGAGACCTTATTCTTGGAAGAGGCAAAGGCTTGAAGAAAAGCACAAACCTGAGAGTGAATATAGCTTGGGTGGCAACTAGAGAAGAATGTGGGATGGCTCCATAAAAACTAGTTTCCACTCCCCTCCTGTCAGTTGTCCAGCACTGAACTTCCCTAATATAGGTAGAGAAATCTTCTCTCCCTCTGTGCTTGAACATGATTTTCACATAATTTATCCATTCATTATGATCAGTGGCAAACCGTAGAGTTTATAATCCGTAGGTTTTCCAAGCCAGGTGCCTACATACAAATTTCAGATTTGAAGACTAGTATAGAGGGTCAAACGAATAGTCACTATTGTAGATACATGACATGATAAAAAAAATATTGCCTTAGTAGCCAGAAAGAATTGGGTTCATTTTACTATTATATTATCATGCCACTTAGTAACTAGAATGTTTTACTTGGCCTTTTTAAATTTTAGTTTCTAAATGCACAAAACATAAATAATAACAACATTGTAAATATACTTAAATTGTCCTGGATTTTGAAGATCAAATGAGTTGGTGAATGTAAACTCCTTAGTACATAGTGGACAACAATATATAATGCTATTTGTCACTTAAAAATATTTGTAAAAATGTTTTAAATGGACTAATTCATGATTAAGTATGATTCAATTTAGATAAAACCTAGCACAATGATAATATATTAAAAGGAATTTGGTTTTTTTGTAGAAAGAGGAAAATTTAACTGTTGTGACTAATTTGTCATCGATATGGAATTTCATAACATGAGGAAATTTGAAAGATACCTTAAGATATGTTCCTGAGGAGCCAGAAAGCCCCTTAGAGTTTCATTCTCTGGTAACTTGCAAAGACATTAATCTTTCATTAATTATTCATATGTAATGTGAATTATTTTGTGAAATCTTCTCTCTGTACAGTAACAGAAAATCAGTGATGAAAAGGAGAATGGCTAAGTGTACAGAAGGAGGAACCATTTGTAATTATGAACATTCGCACAATACTGCCCTCACTTTTTCCCCAAGCCACAAGAGGAGGGTCCCGGAGGCTTTGTCTGGTGAGAGATGGGCCCTAAAAGAGAGAAAATAGGCATGGAAAAGAGGCGCTGACAAGTATTAGGTGCTTGTCTTTCGGCCTCAATCTGGTTTAAGTGCCACTGTTCCCTACACGTATGTATACCCCCTCATTTTTGTTAAATGTCACACAAATGCCTTTTTATTTTTGGTGTCCTCACAAAGTAATATCCTCTAAGATCACAAAGTGAAGTTCTGATGATCTCACCAGGTAGCTTAGGAAAATCTAAGAACAGAAATGGTTTCTTCAAAAAATATGGGGAAAAACACATGTGATGAATTGTATAGAGTGTTAATAGTATTGCAATTATTTTAGCAACTCAGTTCTTTTAAGGTACTTTAAACATCATTTATTATTGCTCATTGTTTATTTCCATTATTATTAATGTACTACTTGCTCTTTCTTTCATCTGGAAAAAATTGTGATGAAATATGCCTTTCCAATTTAGAGTTTTTTTTTTTAATCACCAGCCTGATTTTCCTGAATCACCACATGTAATTTGCCTAGAAATTTATACTTTTAGAGGAAAAAACCTTTCTCGTTTACATTAATATAGTGAATGTTGGCAAAAGAAAGTTTTTCCTCATGACAGGAAAAGAAAACAGAATTATATTAGTAGGGGAGTAGAAATAAGGTCTAAATGTTAACCACCGATTACATAAAAGTAAGGTTATTTGTGTCAAGAGAAATTTACTATAAATTATAGAAGGACTGAGAATATGTTTTGTTTATATTTAGGACTAAATGCATCACAGTTGCTTAATTAAGATTTATTGGGTAGTTAGTGGATAAAACAAGAAACAGACCAAAGAATCCCTAGCCCTAAGAAATTGAAAAATACATCCTCCATATCACTGTTGGAAAAGTCCCATCTTCACACACACCATTTCCCACTGACACCCACAGACACCAAAGGCTCTCGTGATTAATTTGGGTGCAGATTCCCTCATAGTTATATAGTCAATATCAGCGCAATAGTATCAATTCAAGCCTACAAAGGTCTTAAAGGAGAGAGCTGATATAAGACTATGCTTACCTTTGGCTTCCTATCAAAATAGGTAGTAGGTCTAAGAGATACATAAAATTTTGCTTTAAACCTACAGGGGAAATTTGCCATTAATTTTAAAGAGGACTATCTCAATACATGAGCTGAAAAGACCCAGGAAAATCCATCAGCCCTGAAAAATACTTTCTTTACTCCATGACCATACACTGAAATCCTTACTGCTAAAGTTGCTATGTCAGTTTAGACATTGATAATATACTTTCCTGGACAAGGTGCTGGTGACCGCCTGTGAAAATACAATCAAGGAGCCACCACAATTTTGGTGATGACTCCAGTTACAGGAAGTGAGGGGATTTTCCAGTCTGTCATCCAGCTAATGTATATAAAATAAGAAAGAGAAGAGCAATTTTACTTTTCGAAAACTACACAAGCAAATGGCCTTTGCTTTCTCATAAACACTCTTGAGCTTATATCTCTGTTTTAATTGTGATAGTAAAGCAATAAAAAATGAGATTTAATTTTAACTAATGTTGGTCTGCATAGGGCAGTGAGTGAAGACAATGTGCTGGAAAAATATTAATCCAGGTTGGTTATTTAACATCTGCCTTATATTGAGGAGAACATCACCAACGCTGCCTGCTTGAGACCATGAAACTTTTCAGTTATATCTTAGCGTATCGCCGGCTTCTCCTCACAGCTGTTAGTTTGTTGGGTTTATTGCCACTTCCCCTCATCATCCGCACTAAGGTAGGTGAATTTGGAGGACAGGCTGGAAGATTTCTTGATCTGTTTTAATGATCCTTTTCTAGTGTTCAATTGATTGCCTGACTCAGAACTGAATGAATGCTCATTCTCTGTATTTGAAGTCAGGATGGTTATACACTGTGTTTCGTCTACCTTCCTCTTTTTAATGGTTTATGTTGGCCTATTGGGATGACTGCATAGAATAATTAAACATAATAGTCAGTTAGAATTGCTTTCTTCCTATAAACTAAATGCAAGGAAAAACAAATGAAGCATGATCCTTGAGATCGAGTTGTTCAGGTTATTAACCTCCAGGGTTAGCACAATCCTCTTCCAGTAGAATAGGCTGCTATGTAATCCCAGGAGAAAGAGCTAGAGGAATAATCAGCAATCCTAGGCTCCAGAAAAGTCTAATTTACTTGTTAGCTCTGTGGCTTGTTGTGGGCTATAGAACTTCCTAGACATTTAGTTTCTCTGTGGGATGAGAAGACCTTGAAAGCATGAAGTAATTTTCCTAGGTTAATTGGAATATCTTATAAATCATTATAACATGTTCTGATTATTTCATATTTTTTTCACTTTGGTGTATTTATAAACATTTTTCAGTCAGTTTGCTTTAAAAAATAGTCAGCTTATTAAACCCAGAATAACAAGCTTAAAGTATTTTTAATCTCTTGGGAAAAAAATATTCAGATCTGCACTTAGTGAACACTTTCTGTTTGCCAGCTACAAGTGTCACCTGCTAGTGGATAAGCAGACTCTGGACCCAGATCCTGTACTCCAGATCCCAGATTTGCTACTTATAAGCCATATGACCTGGATAAGTTACATAAACCTCTTGTGCTTCTTCTTTCTCTAAGTAAATGGGAATTGTAACAGGCTTGTTATGCGAAGTAACTGAGCAAATATTCACCAAGTACATACTTGGAGCAGTGCCTGGTATCCTGTAAGAGGGATAGGACAAGGTACAAGTCTCCCCAGTGACTGACTTGATAGCTGGGGAAGTGACCACCACCCTAAAATGCACAATCCCTTTCATGGATAAGAACCTTGCTGATGTTCTTCTCCAACAAGTACCACTCACTGCTGTAAAATAGAATCACATTAATTGCAACATGACAAGTACTCCAGCCTCCCTCAGAAGTCTTTGCCATTTTTCTGGGAATTCACATGAAGCAGCAAGAAGTTCTTCTGAATTCTGCCAAGAGCTCCCTCACCTTCCAATCGGGGAGGTTGGCTCCTGCTTCATGACTTTAAGTTGTCTCCTGCAGGATGATATCTTCTAGCTGCAGCATCCCAGGGTAGAGCTCTTCCCCTGAGCGATGGCAGCAATATGATACTAGCAGCCACTCCATGTGACACAACTGAGTCACAGGGATAGTGCTCTTACCTGAATATTTACCCCAAAGTACTTTGAGGTCCTGTTGCCCCATCAGATATACCTGATGACCTTCTCTTTCCAACTCCCCAGCTCCCATGAGTCTCCTAGACCTGGTCCTTATCTTGAGAATATTCTAGTTTATGCCTAGACACCTGCCATATTTTAATATTTCTCCGCTCAGTATAGGTACTTATAGCACAGGAAACAGAAAATTAAACTAATCAAGGCAGACTTAGACCTTACCATATTATCATCTGTGCTGCTCTTTGAAATATAAATACATGATATTATCATTCATACTTTTCAGAGAAGAATATAAACTCTTTGGTAAAGATGACATACATAAAAGGCAATGTTTTGAGTGCATGATTCACTAACTAGAAAGAATATTATTGCTAAGAAATGCAGCCAATACCTTTTTTTTTTTTTTTTTTTTTT